CACCAATTGATTCATCTCATTATTCTGTTCATAAAAGTATTAAGGTACGATTATCAAAAAATTAATAGATTACGAGTTATTTAATATTTTATGTCAATATGTGCCAAAATGAAATATAAAATATCTCGTAAACTATTGGTTTTTTGATATCGCTACCTTAATACTTTTATATGCAGAATAATTAGAGGAATCATATTATGTAAAAAAAATTCATATAATTCCATTTTAAAAAATGACCTTGACCTTCAAATAACCTTAAAAATCGTCCTGAAGGTCAAAATTATTAACACAGATAAATAACCCCCATTGTCCTGAACAAGTTTTGTCTGAACTATTTTTCTGTATCTGCCTTACCGACGGAGAAATTTGGGTGGGTCCCGTAAAATGGCCCACCGTGTATATATACTTTAATCAAGATTATTAAATTCCATTTATATTACACAAAATCGTTTCTTCGATAAAATTTTGTAATATTTTTCAAAAGAAACTAAATTCTTGTTTTGAGCACATATGACAATGAGTTTTTTTGTAAAATTAGTAATGAATATATTTTAAGACTATTCAATCAAGAAAATATTTATTATTAAAGATAACCGTTACTCAAAAGAAAAAGTAAACTGAGTAATAATCTTTCTTAGCAATAAAATGATGTTTTTCTGCTGTACATGATATTCAAAATAAGTAATTTTCAATATTAAATTGGATTTCTGTAAGGGCGGGTGGATGAATATCCTATATCATATCCTATTGTATACGCAACAATGTGCGCCGTAATTTTATTCAACGCCTAAACGAGTCCGGACAATTTCTGCCGTGCCGCGCGACTTGCTTTTCTAATGGGGGCGATGGCGGGCGAAGGAGGTAAGACCTCTTTCCGCTAATTGAATATCCGGTGTCGCTAGACACGGGACCCGCGTGTCCTCCGCGTAAACTGCGTGTCGCGATACGCGTTGCGAATTGACATAATTAACAGCAGGCCGAGAGACACAGAAACCCAACGATGATTCGCACCTGTGAACCAACTAACTCTTCCGTAGCTCATTCCCATCTTTCACCCACCGCACATTTATTGTGCTAGACAGAATAATGACTGTACAATTTTCATCCTTTGTCTACAGTAAACAGAAGCATATTATACATCAGATAAATTTAAACCTACGTACGCACATTTTGGCACGCCAAACACACAAATATAGATCTATGTATATAAATCTTCAACAAAGCAATGCAAAACATAGCGTACTATATAGTCTTGTATTATATACTTACACATATACTATAAAAACTTGATCGTTTTTGCCTGAAAATTTGTCGAAGCATTCTGAAGTTACAAATGAATAAAAATAAAACTTTCCCAATTGTATATATCCTTGCTGTTAAAACGGTACTATTTCTTTAGAAAATTTAAGGGGATTTTTACTTTTAGAAAGCCTTTTTAAAGTCTATTCAACCTAAACATTTAATAGAATATGACAGGAATAGAAACGTTTCCCAATAAAGAGAAATTTATTTACATATATATTGAAAGGAAAATACAATTGTAATATCCTGCATATCGGACACTGTGTGACAAAAAGAAGAGGAACAAAGTCCAGGAAGTGCAACTAAAAGAACGGGTCCATTGCAATAATTGGCGATTAAATGCCTCGGGATCAGACGCATACTTCAGTGCGTTCGGTCGCGGGTGCGTGCATCGATTGCCCGCATTGCTTTCCGCACCCGCATACCGTTAAGTCTGTCAGATCCTACCATGCTATTATTATCCAGAACTACTATCGCATCGCCGCATTCGACTCCAATCTCTCCGATTTACCAATCGGTGCACAAACGAATCGTTCTTTCTTATAACGAATGCTTTGAAAAAGAAGAATGTTGAGAAGTAAAGTAAAACGGACTATAGCGTGTGTATTGTTTACACTAATTTACAAAACTTCTATTTCGCAACATTTGAATAATGATTTTCATGTATTTTTAGCTGCTGAAAAAGAATATAAGATTAAAAAAAATTTAACATCCACAGATTTTGAGAAAACAAAAACGCAATAAAGAATTTTTTATTGCGAAGTATTTTTTTATTACATTATTTTATATTATATTTATACCTATATTAAATATCAAATTTCCAATTTTGTTTTATTATTGCTTTATTGGTGCTATACAAAACAGTACACTCTAAATTTCTTGCAGTCAAACCTCACTGTCAAAAATTTTTTCACTTTTTTTCAGGGGTGGTTGTGTTTTCATTCTTTTGGAGTGAGATTTCACTGCAAGAAATTTAGAGTGTAGGTATTGATTTCCAAACTAAATTGAATTCTGAACTCTGATTATAAACCTTGTAACACTTTAGATCCTTCTTCATTAAAGGTTACTATCCTTTTAAAATATAACATTTTCAGGCTACATTCAAACTGAAATAAAATTCTGTCTTTTACATACCAAGAATCTTTTAAACCTTCTAAGACTGAATTTCACGATAATTAAATTATTTTTCTGAAATTCTAAGACTGAATTTCACGATAATTAAATTTATTTTCTGAAATATGAATTTTCAAATTTTAAAGCCCCTGCAGAATTGAATTCATCTCAATGTCACAAACTTTCAGAAAACTTTGAGATCTCTCTTTCTTTTTTTGTTAGAAAGTTAAATTTTCTTTATGGAAAAACTCTTCCTCGCACAAAACTGGTTAACAATTTGCAAATCTTTCTTTTACTGTACGGAGTAGAATACATGATATCATCGTTCAGACGTGAAGAAACGGAAACCTTGTGTAAATCAGTGTAATTTTTTATATTAAATTTTATTATTTTAATATATCAAAATTGTACATAAATGATAAAACGATAAAACGCCTTATACATAATATTCATTTTCATATATTATTAAAAAATATTGTATTAAAATTTTTTATAGCAATTTATACACTTATTAGATATATATATATCGCAATATCGCAAAATGAAATAACTGTGACCCAGTCGGGCCAAACCTCTTTAAAACGTTTTTAAGATCTCTTTAAGACGTTTTTATATGTTCCGATTTTGACATACATCTTATCTGAGCATCAGAGACTTGGACTGAAAAGTTTTTTCAGTTCGGTTCTGGTTACAGTTTAATACTGAATAAGTTGCGGTTTAATTTCGATTCCTTGACTAATGAAGAAAGTCGAAATTGTAAAAGTTACGATTTTTTTTAACAGTTTTTTCGGTTACTCATGCGGTAAGGGATAAAGAGTTTAAATTTTAAAGTGACTTTTTACTATATTTATTCTGTTAAATTGCATTTGTATATTTGGAGGAAGAAATAAAAATTTAAAAATATATTTAATATATTTTGTACGTGTACTACATGTGTAAATGTGCAAGGATTCAAATCACAATTTGCGATGATAATATAAATGAGTGAGCTAACGAAAGAGAAAGGGGGAGAGAGAGAGAGAGAGAGAGAGAGAGAGAGAGAGAGAGGAAGAGCGAGAATCTTACAATGTAAAGAGAGAAAGATTGATTCGGTTATAATTCCGATATTACAAACCAGGCCTGCCTAATTTGAACTCCGGAGCCAAAACGCAAAGCCATTGACGTAAAAAAATCAATATAGATAAGATTTCGGAGACTGTAAAGTGTCTGAACAATGCTTATCAACACTTTACAGTTCACTAAATCTTACTCACATTGAAGCTCAAATTGGACAGACCTGGTATAAACTATATAGAATTTGATTTCGGTTCCGATTCATCTAACAAAAAGAGTTATGAAACGGTTTTCGATTTCGATTCTAGTTCAGTTCTTGTTGAGCATTATCAAAATTTGGGTCAAAGTTAGTTGACATTTTACGGTATAATCATTATGAATTTGCGTTATTGCATAAGAAATTCAAAGTGCGAATTCATAAAAAGATGGAACTTTTTGAAAGCATATCCTTCAATACAAAAAATTGTATAAGAAACACTTACTACTTGTTGAGAAACAAAATATTTATCAACATCGGTTGCCTTCCTGTCTTTACTTATGGATTGCAAAGAAAAATAGAACGACACAACGTTCTATTTTTCTTTGCAATCCATGAGTAAAGACAGAACAATATACTCGTGTTACTAAATGGAAGGCACCCACCGATTATCTCTTTGATACATGCAACTCCTCGCGCGTCACCTCATTATTTCGCTTCTAATTGTAAGATTCATTGTCACATTGTCAGTTCGACGACCCAGTTTCTTGTTTTCCTTTCGTAGACTAGTGTCTCTTGGCGATGTTTACGAGACACGTCGCGTCGCCGAAAACCGGAGCGGTTCTACGCGCTTTTAAAAGTCCGCTCGGCGACGCGCGTCACAACTGATAAGGCTGCAGCTGCGCGCGCATCGCGACCGCGTTCACTGTTGAACTGATAGCTCAGTACGCTGGTAACAGGTGGTTCGTCGCTATTGGTCGAGCGGCAGCGATTCAAGTGCCTTGCGGCGCCAGCACGTGCGGCCGTCGCCGCGCCGGTCCTACTGAGGTCGACTGGTCCCACATTCACAAGGAGAACGTCGTACCGCGCGCATCCGGCCTCGACGGACACCAACGGGCACCAACGGGCACCAACGGGCACCAACGGGCACCAACGGGCACCAACAGGCATTCTCTGCCTCTGCCTCTGGCTCTGATTCTGCTCTGGGTCTACTGGTCTCGGACGTCTCGGTTCATTCGTTCTCCAACGGCAAGCAGGCAAACAGGCAAGCAGAACCTTCGCGCGCTACCGTACCGAAAATCGATACTACCGATAGCCGCCTGCCAATACTCCGATTGCTCCGAGTGTTCGCGTATAAAGCGTTTGCGAAACAGCCGGTTGGAAAGGACTCGGCTGACAGCTCTCGTGGGTGCGCGGGTGTTGGCTATCGATCCCACCGCACCGTCCCGCTTTCTTCGGTTCGTTCATTGGCGCAGTCGTCGTCATCGGGACCGCTCGTGAGCGAGCAATATACAGAGTGTGTTGTGCCTTAAAATAACATACTTGGAAAACTAGCCTCTGTGACTCGCCCATCTCGGAGATCAACAAGAGATTACTCTCTTTCCTTCCACGTTCGTGGTCCGTTTTTCGTTCGGTGAGTAACAACTTGCACGCAGCTCTACAATCTTCTCCCCTTTGCTGCTTCTTCTTCTTTTTTTCTTTTTTTCATCAATCTTCCGTCCCACGGTGCTCGCGTGCACTGGTACCGCTACTCCGGCTACTCGACGGACGCTGCGGCGCGCGCGGCGGATGCAGAATTGCAGACCCGGTGCTGTGCACGTGCACGCGCCGCCGAGCCGGCGCTCCGTTCCATCTGGTGCGCTCCGATTACGACGATCGGACCGGATCGATCATCGCTCGCTTCTGGGCTCACTCCGCGCGCCGCCGCGCCGCTACTTGTCAAAACACCGGCGCGATGAATTCCCAAAAGATTGGCTGCGTCCAATAGAAAAAGCAGCTTTCCCGATGTGTTGTAAGATTCTTTCTTATAGCTAAAATGATTGGTTTTTGCCTTTACTTCAGTTCATCACTGGATCTAAGTGTACAAACCAAGCATATTAAAGAATCCTGCTTTTTCCGTTGAACACAGTCATTCTCAAAACCGTATCAGAGTATAACATATTGGAGATCGAGGATATTGCGAATTAAAAATTAGAATTTGGCCAAGATAATTTTAATTTTAATCCATTTCATTCTAATCGCTCTAATTCTAATCTCCAATTTGCAATCCTCAATCTCCAATGCATAATCTGATACAGGCTTCAGTTGCAATATTGAGGCGAATGATGCGACGAGCGTGGAATGTGGAGCTCCTCCCGCCGATTGATGAACCCCTCAAGATGATTCTCACAGCATCACGACAATCGATCCATCTTTGATCGCAACTGCGTGGAATAGTGGTTGTTAAGCGACAATATTGCTGTCAGAGAAAAACATAATAGTAGCAATTTTATAAGTGACAACTATATAAGTTTTATATTATGTAGAAGTAATATATAATTAAAGAAACTATTCTCTACAGTTGCAATAAAATATTTATTCAACTATGTATTGTACATTATTTCTACATATAAAACTTGTGTAGTTGTCATCTTATATATATGTATAATATATGTATAATTGTTACTACATATCTTTTTCTCTGATTATGGGATAAATGGAATAAATTTATCGTGTTCGGTGGATTGTATCGCAATCTTTGCTGACAGCGATGTCTGGAATGTTCAAGTCATACGTATCAAAGGTGAAATGAAACTTTCATCGTATCTTTAGCGATAAAATTTGCTGAGGATAGTATTTATAAGTTTGACGCATCATGCTGCGATAAGAACGCTTCACATGTTCCTCGCAATTGCGCGAATTGCGATTGATAGAAACAGTGTTTCTAAAACATGCGGATCTTGCATTCTCGTCGGCATCGATCGATGCATCTTTCCTTTTTCTTTCCGGAAATACCAGTTTCGATTAGCATCGACTGTAGTTACGTGGAATCGTTCACGCGTCGAAAGGTCGGTCGAACGGAGCCGGATGATTATATTGGAAGTGACATTTGCGCGAACAAGCTGTGTTATTTGAAAAAAATAAGAAGAAAAAAAAGAAACAAATAAGTACGTCGTGAAATACACCTTCCAGTTATACAAAGTGCATGTCAATTACTGTCGGATTCGAAAACATAATCACAAACTGAAGCTGAAAAAATAATATTGCCAATGAAATTGATCAATTTAATAAAGTTTAATAAAATTAAATAATAATAAACAAATTATAATGATAACTGACTCTTTGAACTACGTCAAAAATAAATAAATAATAAGGAAGCACATATAGGTATAAAATTACATGAACGTTTCGACTGTTAAATCCAGTCATCATTAGTACGACGTAAATTACCTAACTATTGATCGATAACTTATTCGCAGTGATTGTTAAGTTTTACATTTATCCCGCATATAAAATCTCGAAGAGTTTAACAAAACGCACGCATGTAAGATCTTTAACATAGTTGCATCAAACCTCCGTTTGAAAAATGTAGTTGTCAATGACAACTAGATTTAACAGTCGAAATGTTTATGTTTTTTAAAACGGATGAATAGAAATTGTGCAACAACAACCTGTTGGCCTATGTGTGTGTGTGTGTGTGTGTGTGTGTGTGTGTGTGTGTGTTCTTTTGTTGTTTATTTATTTTTAAATTATAACGCACGCGGTGTAATATCTGCGAATTAATTATCAGCGGAAGTAATAGAATAGATACGTTCGGCAATAATTTTCAAGCGATTTTGATAGCAATAAGTACCTCTATCCGATATATTGCGATATAGCATGTTATACACGAGGAGTCGCAAATGTTAAGTAACAGATTGTTTATACGTTATCATTGAGCGGATACACATAAATGTTTGAGGCGATGCCTTTCACGGAGAAATTGATATATCATTTTATTAACGTGAAATTTAAGAAAAAAAAGCAGTAAAAGATTTTTGCCATCTCGCTGATAAACATACATGAAAAGAATAATTTTATTAAAGTATCTAAAAATTTAGATATAAATAACTTTGACAAAATCAGAATAACTTTGGCCTAAATTTTAAGAAATACCTAGATAGTACGCAGGTCCACAAAATCAGGATATAAGATATCTTAAAATGTCTTAAAAACGTTTTAAGATAACTTATATGTTCCGATCTTGACATGAGTGCTGTCTGCAGCATATCTAAATTTGGGCCAAAAAATTACTCTATTTTACGTTACAGATTGGAAAATTATTTTATTCCATTATTAAAATGATTATTAAAATAATTATTAAAATAATTATTAAAATAAAATTACGCGCAAGTTAGAATGTCAATTTTTTGCTCATTATGTTTGAGCGTTCTATATAATTTCGCACGATGATTTATCTAAATTTCAATAAATGTACTTGCTTAATTTTCAAGATGTTTTCTAAACACCATGAACTTTTTAATAACTTTATCGTATCTAAGAGGTCAAAATGTATAAAGAACTATTTTTATTTACATCTCTTTAGGTAAATAACTTTTTTTAAACTACTTTCTAATAGCAAAATCGTTCTTTCCGTATAATGCTTATTGTTAGAATAACTCTCGAATGTGATGCGCACGCTTGAAAGTAGAATAACTGTATTTACATTATTTAGAGCATAATTAACGTTTTAGCCTATATAACTGTTTCACGTTTGAAATAACATGCATGTATAGTATATACGTAATGTTATTGACGATGTCCTCGTGATTATTCGCGTAATTAATTCCACCACAATCTTAGCGATCGAATATATTAATTTAATTATTAACATTAGCTTTCAGCAAGAGCCTCACATTCGCGCGAAACTATTTAATTCCTTACTTATATGTTTTTTATCGGGAATACTTATATCATTATATCGCGCGTAAAAAGAATTCATCCACAGACATGAAAGAGAAATACTATAAGAGTTTAAAGAAAAGAATTTACGTCGCGCCATGTAGCGAGGAGCTAATTTCTTTTTCTGATGGTAAGCGGAGGTCGATTAGAGAATTCTTGGGGCACTATAAGTCTCTTCCACCATGATTTCTGGACTGTTGTGCGTGTTATTGTATATGTATATGCGAGAAGTGGTTCAATTGAACTTCATACTCCAAGATACTTGGTCTCACTCCAAGATAACTCTCGCGATTTATAATTCCTTATCTAAAGATTTATTTCTGTGCAACGTAAGTAAAAAAATTTAAAAGATATATATGCATCTAAATCTGTAATCGTTTCTATTTATTTCAAAATATTACGCGAGTATGATATTATAATAGACACATAAGAAAAAGAATTATGAATTAGAGCTCATATTATAACTTCTTCTTACTTATAATTTCGTGATATCGTTCGCGTTACCGTGCAACAGCTTCCCTCTTCTCTTTCTCTCTTGCAACTGCAATTGTATTAGCCTATAAAAACAGGTCCATTGAACTCGTTAGAACGCATCGCGGGCTGTAATGCAGCTATGCATCACCCCGTAATATAGGACAAAAGGTATTAAACGCAAACCAGCCGCGGCAGATAATAAGTACGACACGCACGATACTGTATGCAACGCTGAGGTCACGGATGCGCACGTGCATGTGTTACTATAATCTATGTAAGCAGCTCGTTTATCGATATCCGCCTTGCCGGATCAGCATCCAACGTCCGGTTGAATCTTTTAACGATACTTACATAAACCTTTCCGGCTTGTCTATTATCGAGCGAGACTTGTACATATCTTCGCGCGTTCTTCTCTCTGTTCTTCTTCATTTTATTTATAGATATACCGCGAAAGCGCGATATTCCTCTTATCTCTCGATCTTCTGGATTTAATTTTAACCGAATCACAAATATAACACCGAATTTGTTTTTTCCTATCCTTCTACAAATAGCAAACTTCTACTTTAATCTTGAAAAAAGATTTTAATCTTATCCCAAGGGAGAGAGATCCACCGCGGTTCTCGAGATCTCATTAACGCTAAATAAATTAATGTAATTAAATAGCATAATCGCGAATCCCTCGCCAATTTAGTAAACGAAGAAGATAATCAATAATATCCGCAATAATGTCAGATGATGAGATTACGAGATAATCTTGGCTTTCAGATACTAACGGAGCTTGCAAGATTATCAAAGAACGCTGGATCCGTGGCGACGGCATGTTGGCGCTTTAATTTTCTTCGTCCTTCATGGGCGAGTATATACCATGTTCCTCTGACCGACGACGCTCGCATTATCCGGAAAGGTAAAGGAAACGAAATATATATATATATATATACATATATATATCATGGCGTTCTACGACGTGGGAACGGGCGACCTCAAGGAATTGTGGGAGTCCTATATCACCGAGCCACCGGTGAGTGCACAACCTTTATACATATAAACTGATTCCTAAGAGAAGAGATGGAAATGTCGAGAATTCGATTGTAAAAGAAACATGGCAGAAACTTTATTTTAAGACTCTTAGAAAATTTGACACTGGTAAGATAGTAATTAATTATTTATATAAGATTTTGAATATTTAAAGCATACTGTTCGAGGCTTTTAATACTTAAAATAAGTAATTAATCACTGTTTTAAATTGATCAGTATTAAATTAGAGATTTCTGCACGTAACGAGAGGTAACTATCGCCGTTTATCGCTCGTGAATTTGTTGTGCCTATGTGACGTTATTACATTTATATATAATGTGTTCTCGAGAAAGTATCTATCTAAAATCTCGAATGAAAGGAAGCTCCATTGGGGGATCGTAGGGACGCCTACATCCTTCAGAGGGCCGTGCATCCGCAATCCTCCACGTTATTCGAATATTCGTGTCAAATCTCAAGAGAGAGAGAGAGACAGTTGACGACCAGTAATGCTGTCAAGATATATTATACTGACGCATTCAAGTATATATTTTTAAACACAGTACGAACACCGTTATTTCCATAACCTTATCTCTTACGTTGGATGGAAATATACGATCGTGTACTTTACAAGAGATATTCATTTTACAATACTATTTTACAATACTATTCGTGAAAGTGTCTTTTTTATGAGCTTCTTTTTATGTAAAATGCAAAGAACACTTGCTCGTGTTGTGCTTATCAAATTGATTGAATGTCATTGAAAAATATATTTCTACTTCTTGCACATTCCTGAATGATAACAACTACAATATTTAATAATAGAGTGTTATATATTTGCAACGTTTCAATCTTCAGGTGATAACTATTAGTAAAAGTTAAAATGTATAATATTGAAATATGACTGCAATGAAATTCAAACTAAGATTTTATCAAAATGAATCACAATCTAAAGTCGAATCTCCTTTTTATCTATGCATCTTTTCGGTTACTACTTTTTTAAACTTACTTTAATATCTTCAGTTCAAAGAAAGTACATAACAGCCTTTGAATTATGAATAATAATGGTCGCATACTTATATATGCATCTCGTATATTATCATTTATCATCGCGCTTATGGTGACACGGTTGCAACTTGCGCTAATTAAGCTTAAGGAAATGAGGAAACCGACAAATTTACATGATAGCGCCTTGTAGGACGTTACGTCACAGCGCAGCACCGATAATTCTTCCACCATCGGACAATTCGTCGCGTTTATTTTTCGCGACCCTCGCGTATCTACCATCCTGCGAACGTGCACGACGGAAACTATTTTTCATCATGCTTGCTTGTTGCATTCGCGACAGCAACAATGGCTGCGCACATGCTCCTTTCATTCTCGCAGCGTCGCAACGTGCGTTCTCATCTTCGATCGGCGCGGCCGCACAAAATGGGACACGGTCGCAAATTCCTCGCGCGGCTCTTTCACGTCATCGACATCGGCATCGTATTACCTCGCGACAAATTAATCCTAATCATTAACGCACCGCGTCTCTAATACTGTTAAGTACGCCTCGACTGGTTTCTCGCCGGCGGCGAATAAATAGTAAATACCAATTCGCATGCAGTCGTTGCCGTTTTACGCGCTGCACCGCGCCGCGCCGAACGTGTACTTATTATTGGTTATTGTTCCTCTTATCGGCCGCCCGTAGCTTCATGTGCTCACCAAGTAATTTAGCAGGTCTCCGAAGCGGCGACGCGGTTAACCGGTATTTTTATCGTTTCCTAGAAGGTCGTCGATATCCACGTTCGATCCCGTTGGAAATAAAATTCAATCATCAATCGCGTGGTAGATTCAAGACCATCGTCTTGGAGACTCGAGTTAATCTTGCGTCGATTCGTTCGTCGTATTCTTCTGTCAAGGACTTACGCAACAACGCTGGAAATGATAGCAATTATTTTTTCCTTTTTCCAGCATGCATTTGAACGTTATCCAAACAACGTAAAATTAAAAATCAAGACATACTATGTGTTACAGTTAAAGCATGTAAAAAAAACGGGAATAGTTACTTGATATTTTTTTATATAAACGATCACTTGTTTTTGTGTTTTTGCACCTCATTTAAAATCATCATTATTGACATTATATTGTAGATATATAATTGATTTGTTTTCAGATTTATTAGTATTTAAAAATATTACGGATATAAATTTAATCACAATTTTCTAAAAAAAAAAGTATAAAAAACCAAATAAATATTAAATGGAATAAGTAGCTTATTATAATAGTATTTCAGAAAAACAAAGATTTTGACATTATCAATATAATACTTTTCTACTGTGGATTTCGTATTTAGGTTCGTAAAGAGTAGTTATTAAAAAAGAAAGAAAATTGTCAATTTTTCAAGTCTAGTACATGTACCAATGTATGAGAGGTAAACCGCTGATCAAAATTGTGTACACCAATGTCTGCTAATGCCCAGTATACCCAAGTAATGCCCAATTTTTATACCCACTAATAATTTTCTAATCTTTTGTATTTTAATGATAGAAAAATAACTATTGATGGAAAAATTTGATTGATATTTACAGACGTAAGGAAAACTTTTGAATCTTAATTTCTACATAGTCATTTTTCTACATAGTCAGTTTTGTGCCAATGTCTTGTTGCCAATGAATACCGAATTTTATCATAAAACATTAATCGTAATATTATTTAGTAATATATTGTAGAACTGTCACAATTTTTTTTATTTCTACATAACATTTTATATCTGATCATGTTTATCTTTTAAATAATTTTTTTTCTGAACAGCATAATAAATAATTTTGTTACAATTTGATGATACTTTATTTCTTGGATTCGCTATATTGAATCCGCCATTTTAATTTGCTAATTTTTATGTTTTGACCTTACTTTTGTAATCAGCTATCTCCTTTTAAAAATAACTAGACGATACATGTCGTATTTTTCACAAAAGTCAAACCTTAAAGGGTTAAATAATATTTTACAACAATTCACCTTTTTATCGCCGTTGGAGTGTAAAAACATTCCAACTGTTCTCGAGTTTGAAACATCTTTGCGAGAACAGTTTAAATGACGTCTTAAAAACATTTTATTTCCTGATTTATTGTTAGACTTTGTCTGAATTACACTTTGAGTATATCATCACAATTCGATTGCTCCTCGCAAACACGAGAGAAGGATTATATTAACGCCACTCGAACGCGGATTCACAGCATTTATATAGCATATACATATATTATATCGTGAAGGATTTAAGGTAGTAAGACATTATTGGTGTGCCCATCTGTACAAATATCGCATCATTTCCAGTGTGTTCATAAACACACGTCTTTTGCGAAGAGCCACGATTATTGTCGTTATATTCAGTCGTTCATAAACCCAATAGATGCATATGTAGAAATAATTTTTGGGAGCATAGCAACCAATTCTCTTCTGAATATAAATTTAACGACGCTTCACGTTCGTCGGAATTATCTCTCGGGGAATTTCCGAAACTATTAATACTTTTCCAGAAATTATATTCGACATTGTTCCCGATATTTTAATAATTTGAGATTAAATTGTTTTCAGTTTAGTAGACGCGGGAAAACATGAACGAATTACAGAGAAATAATGTTAAGATTCAATGAAAAGGTTTACTGAATTTCTTATATATGCTAATAATTGTATAATTGACGAATACGTAACGCGTCTAAACCCAAAATAGCTCTATGTATATTTCCACAATTCGCAATTCTATATACATACTAATTACAATTTTATCGTCGTAGCTTCCACATATTTATCACTTTTCAAACGAGTTACTGACTGATTTAAAGTAAAAAACATAGTAGTACCAAAACGATAAAACTAACAACTACTCGTATATAAGTTTTATGTGTATAATTAATGTACACACATATAGTTGAATAAACTATTTGATAGTTATTACAACTATAAAATAATTTATTCAACTATGTATTATACATTAATTTTGTACATTATAAAACCTGTTTAATCATTACCTTTATAGTTGCTTCCATTATATTTTTCTCTGATTGTGAGTGTAGCAATCATTTGGAAACAGGATATTTATTGTTGAACATATGTTTGCAGTTTACTTCATTGAACAACGATGATGCTTCGTTACACTCTCATTATCTATAGATGCGTTCCGAGTTGCGCATGAAGCGCATGATATATCGTTTTATCCTTCTTTATTATTTGGTGAACAACAAGGATAAATGATGCATCATGCGCTTCATACGTAACTCGGAACGCACCCTATGAAGTACGCCTTATGTAACTCGCGATCCGAGTTGTTTAAACATAAAAAAGTCCATGAACCGTAATCATAGTATAATTTAAAATGTTAATGCAAACATATGTGCATACATTATTATTTTTCACAATCCAATCAAGAGCATTTATAATTGTTTAACATTATAAATATATTTATGCGTACGCACAGATGTTTTTTCTTCCTTCCGTTATTTAGCTACATCTATGGAGCTAGTATATGAAATTTGACGCGGACATCGAAGATTATACTATATATATTCATACTATATACAGTCACACATACATTCGTGTTGATTTTGCTGGAATTTTCAATCAGTGCTTGATTATTTCGACATAATAACGAATTATTAATATGCATCGATACGGTAGTCTGGTTGTAGCGTCATAATAGAAATTGAAAGGCGAATCGGCGCATGCATATCAATGCTGTCTCATCATATTTAGGAGGTCAGTCCTCTTTGACAGGAATTACATCAAGCGATAGACAGTTGATCGCGCGCGCAAATATGTCTGGCTAATAAAATCGTTTAAACTCGTTCGCTGTCATTCGGACTTTCTTTATGAAAGAAAATACGGGAATCCCAACATGCTAAATGCAGCCACTAAATACTGACAATGAGCCTGGATTAGAAACTGACGTCCGATTTCCAATATTAGAGACGCAAGCTCACCTTAATCGTCGTCGAAAGCACGCCCATAATGAATCGACCTAATTAT